GATGTATACTATAGGAATTTCTATCTGATCCTTGGACTTACAAATGTTTTGTTTGTATGTTCAATAACCAATGTTTGCTTAATGTTTAATCAGGTCACAATCACACCATTTTGATGGGTTGTGAGGCAGAAATGTTTTGTGTTGTGCTTCCTTCTTCATGTTGTATTAATATTGTGCTTGTGCTTGATTTAAAAGTAACATGGGTTTCTTTTTGACCTTGCTTTTATTGGAACGTACATGACCTGTTTATCTCAGCATCTTATTTCTATTGTTTCTTGTCAATGCTATGCACTATGTGGAAAATGATATGTAGTTATGGCTTGATTGGACCATTATTTAATTGGATCTCATCAGAATTCCTTTTGTTCAGTCATTAAATTAATTAGATAGATGAGGAGCTCCCCCTTTTTACTTGGGATAGTGTATCAGCAGGATGATATTGATACATCACTTGCTCCTGTCCCCTAGGAGACATCAATGGTTAAAACTTAAAACTTTCAACTTGTAGGTCTCAAATTTGAAATAGGGGAGGGGAGGTTGAGGGATTGTCATTGCACAATTGGGTTGGATACCAGCATCAAGATCTGCTATTTGTTGCTATTCCTTCCTTATCTTGTTTGCTTTGTTTTTCTTCAAATATTTGCTCAATAGGTTTTCTAAATTTTCATCATTGTTCATGTCTTAAACCAACTTTCAATCATGTGGTAACCTTTTTCCTTCCCAATCTTACACGTGCCCCTAACAATTTCATTCACCTGCAGAGACATTTGTCAGAGCAGATGGTGCTTTTATCCCTTTCACTGATGATTTTGACATGTCCACTGTTACTACATCCGTTAAAGGTGTTGGAGAGATCGGTGATGTCAAGGTTATTGATTTGCAGTCTTCAATTGGTAGCATTATTGGTAAGCAAGTTACGAAGGTTGGAAGGAGTTCTGGTTTAACCTCAGGAACTGTATTAGCCTATGCCCTTGAATACAATGATGAGAAAGGCATATGCTTCTTAACTGATTTTCTTGTTGTGGGCGAGAATCAGCAGAGTTTTGACCTTGAAGGGGATAGTGGAAGCCTCATCATAATGAAGGGTGAAAATGGGGAGAAGCCAAGGCCTATAGGAATTATATGGGGTGGAACTGCCAACCGGGGCCGGCTTAAGCTAAAAGTTGGACAGCCACCAGAAAACTGGACTAGTGGGGTTGATCTTGGGCGCCTACTCAACCTCCTTGAGCTTGATATCATCATAACGGAGGAAGGGCTTAGAGGTTTGTTCCTTCCACAAGTATTTTTTTTAGTTTTCCATTACTCTGTATTTCATATCTTATTTCTTCTTCATAGTCCTTGTCAATTTTCAAATGATGCCTTGGTATGGAGAACAATTATAAAAAAGTGCCTTGTTGATGCCATGATTGATCGTTTAACTGTGTTATTTTCATGATCATAAAAATGGTGCAAGTCCTTTAGCTCAAGGACATATTCTTAAAAGGCATTCATGGATAGGCATGCGTCATACAAACTGACTTTGAGACTTGAAAACTTGTTAATAATGTTACCTTCATCGCTTTTCATTTATAGTGGCAGTTCAAGAACAAAGAGCTGCCTCAGCAGCCGCTATTGCCTCCACGGTTGGGGACTCTTCACCTCCCGATGGAGTTCTTCTAAAGGACAAAAGTGAAAACAAATTTGAGGCATTGGCTTTTCAGATTCAGCATATCCCTTTAGAAGTAGATTGCAACAGCCCAGAAGTGAATCCGTCAACAATAAAATCCGAGTTTCATTTGGAAGATGGTATCAACGCTGGTCCTAGTGTAGAGCATCAGTTTATTCCAAGCTTCATTGGACGATCTCCCTTGCATAAAAACTTCTCAGATAAAGCTGTTTCTGAAAATCTTGCTTCATTAAGGAATGGGTGTGATGAAGATTTTTGTGTTTCATTGCATTTGGGTGACAATGAAGCGAAGCGGAGGAGGTCAGAGGCTTCAACCAGCACAGAAGAACCCAAGTGAAACCGTTTAGTAGCTTCAGCTGGGAATCAGTGACCTGCCCTTTGTAGTTGGTATTGCAGCTTTAATCAAGTGAGTGAAGGCTGCAAATTTTATTTGTTAACTTTATCGACTTTACTAGGTCAAGTTAACCTCAGTATTTAATATAGTGCAGAATCCTTTTCTTGCTTGTGAAAGTTTAGTGTTTATTTTTGTTTCCCCCTTTTAAAGGCTTGAAATTGGAAGGCTTTCAGATACACTATGCGCACACACACACAGAGGCAAAAGTTCATTGCTTCTAAAAGCAATGTTTCCCTTTGTTAAGCACTTGAATACTGTCTATATGGGGATGGGGTTTAGGTTATAATCTTTAAAATCGAATCAAAATTAATTGAGTTATAATAAAAAATAATCGAAAATGATTTATCTCCATGGTATCAATTTGTTTGTATTTTTAGGTATATTTTTAAAATATTAATATTATTTTAATTTTTCTCGTATGATATCTTATGAGTTTTTTTTTTTCAAGTACCGTACATGGACCTTTTTGTTCCAATCAACAGGTAACTTTTATTTCTCTAAGGGGTTTAGGATGTTAATTTTTCTTAATAAAATTATCAAAATACTCTTAATCTAAATTTAGTTTGTTTATTCTCACTCAATAGTATTTTTATAACTATATGTGTACTTAACATGTGAAAAACCCAAAACTCAAAAATGTTAATTTAGGTTTAAATTGATCTTATAAAAACCTCAAAGACTTGTAACTTGAATTGAAAATTTAAAATAATAACTAAATATTAATTTAACTTGAATAATTTGATTACCATCTCTAGAATTATTTAAAAAGCTCACAGTTTGTTTTGTAAAATAAAATAGACAGAAATAGATGAAAATGCTCGATTTTCTCATTTAATCATAGGTCTACATGGCCTATAACATTTGTATAAAAATATTTTAGCTTTTGTAATTTATCAAATTAATGGATTTGGTCTTTATATAATAATTTATAAAAATTAAGTCTTTATATTTTTTAAAATTGATAATGTTATCCTAATCGTTAACAGTACTAAAATTTTTTTATTAATCTATATTGATACGGAAATTTTTTAACTAATGTGACGTTGAATATGATGATAGATTTTTTATTTATTTCAAAATATTTTTTTATTGTTTTAAATTCTAGAGCACAAAATTCAATTCTTTTCAGTCGTATAATGTTTTTTTCTTAAATCCCATAAATCTATTTGCATTTTTAATATGTTTCTTTTCAATTTTGTTTAAAACTATTAGCTCATATCGGATAATTTTATGTCTATACTTATAATGATTTTTAAAGAAAAATATCTTGAAGTGAATTTGTTTTGAATTATTAGGTTTAAATTATGCTAAAAATTTAAACGAAAGAGAGAAGTTCTTGATTATTTTTATTTTATTTATAGACATGCAAATCTTCTACAATTCCTCCATTTGATTCCTTGTCCCAAGATATTACTTAAAATGGTTTTTGATAAATTTCATGTCAGTGCTTGACACATCATATCGATACTATTATCGCATCATTCGTGAAATATTATTTCATCATTATCATGTTATTAGATTCAACGTCACATTAGTAAGAAAATGTCATTTCAACATAATCAAATATCATATCAATATAAATAACAAAATTTTTTTTAACATATTGGACTGAAATTATCAATTTTGAAAAGTATAAAGTTTTAATTTTTATAAATTATTATAAAGGGCTTAAATTCATCACTTTTTGATAAGAGTATAGGAATTAATTACATAATTTGATTAAATCTTTTTTATTATTCGTAATAATAAAAGTCTGGACTTGCAGACCAGGTCTGAGCTATCCCTCCAAAGCCCAGACCTAAATGAGGCTTGGCCCAAGGCCCATGAATGCTAACAAAATTGCCCTTTTCCCCTCACGAAATTCCCTCTTCCTTTTCCCTCTCTTGTTGCTCACTGTCACATCTTTAACCTTTTCACCTTTCAGTTTACTGCCTCGCAAGGCGTTTCGCTCGATCAAAGGCAAGTTGAATTTGTTTCTTTTGTTTTTATGGGTCGATGTCTATTTCTTTATGTTAGTTCTTTTGATTTCTTGAACTGGGTTTGGTTTTCTAATTATAAACAATTCAAAATTTAAAGCAAGTTTACAATTATTTTTTTTAGTGTGTGTGTGCCCTGTTCTTTCTTATTGAATTGCAAATTGTTCATGATTTTTGGTAGAATAGATTGCGTGATTTATTCCAAGTTTGATCATAGTTTTACCATATATAAATAGGTTCTAAAAAATGGGTTCCTAAATTCATTATGAAATTCATCCTACAATTGTATGAAACCCAGCTTGGATAACGGTAGTTGCAATAGCGTAAATCTATCTTAATTCAGTTTCCAATTATAGTCTACTTCGAATTTTCAAATTAGTGAAAGTAAGTTTCTGTTCTTTTATTTCATATTTTGACGTCTGTGAAATAAATAAAATTTTACTGTCGTCTGTTAGAGGATACCTTGACTGTTTTTGTTTCTTTGACTTACTGGTAGGAACTAAAACTGAGTCAATAACTGATGAGTTTCATCGGGTTTGGGAACTTGTTATTTGCGCTTTGTCAAATCGGTGTGCCTGTTCACTCTCGAAGATAGTTGCTGCAACACTCCTCTAGGACCTTTAATCTGCGAAGTTTTTTCTTATGTAATCGGGAATAACATGGTATGCATCCTTTGATTTTTATATTTGGTCTTCTTCCTTTGTGCATCTTTCATATCAATAGTCGATGTTTTCAATTGTTTACTGTTGCCAATTGCCAACCATCTGAAATAACTTTTCATGTTCTTGTTTTCAGTGATGCCCTAAATTTCTTTATAGTCTAAACGTTTAGTGTTATAGCTGTTAAAGTCTTATTTTTTATTTCATGCAGGGCAGATGATACTTAATGCCTTAAGGACTTGGACTGATGCCACTTTCAATTGGTACTGTCAAGAGATCGTAACTATTAGTTAAAACTTAGATAGCCGGTACATTGAAAGAATTTAATGGCAGGCAATGGCCTGCCATCTCTGGGTCGTGTAAAGCTTACTGATCTCATACCCTCTGAAGGCCTTCCTTCAGATTCATACAAGCTATCAGTTTCTACTTTGTCACAGTCATTTGCTCAATATTCTGCTGCCATCATTCAGTTTCCAGCTAGTGATGGAGCTCTTTTAAGATCTGGTTTAGATTCTGCTCGCCTTTACTTCCAACAAAGGGCGGCATACCCATCTGCAGATATGATTCACACTAATGATTCTCGTGAGTGGTGTAAAACGTCTGGTTACTATGCTGATCCCCAACTATGGCAGGAAACTTATGATTACAGACCCGGCTTAACTCCTACAGAGCCAAGCAATGGAATGGAGTTTCCTCCAGGTGGGTTGCCTGACATATTTGCCTTGCTTGGTAAGGCAGCTCGAGATATACTGGATGCCATCAGCTATTACTTGAACTTGCGCAGCTCTCCCTTTACTGAAATACTTGATAATGTACCCTTGAGAAGCCGGGAAATTTCTTCTTCTGTATTGTCTGTGTGCTGTATGGCAAGGCTTCTTTTCAGGGGGCGCAACACCCCAATCTGACAGCGCAGGATGATGGCCAATTGATCATGTACCCTGACCATGAGCACCAGGTTGATAAATGCTTAATAGCTGTTGTAAAGTCAGATAGGACTGGTTTGCATGTAAGAGATTTTCATGGTCGGTGGATTCTTGTAGATGGGGACCTGGGTCCTCAAGAAGCTGTTGTTTATCCTGGACTTGCACTTTATCAAGCAACTGCAGGTTATGTCAATCCTGCACTGCATAGGACAGAGATAATAATATGCCGGTAACCTGTATGGGCGATGCTCCTTGGCTTTCAAACTCATGCCCAAATCTATGACCAGTCTCAGTTGCTCAGAGATGAAGGCAGCTGGTCATGGAGTTGAAGCTCAGTTCCAGCTTCCAGTACCAGTGGATGACTTCATGCAAAGATCTCACCCAACAGATCATCTCTTTAATAGAAACACATTCCAGAGTTTCAATTTCCCCACAGCCCAAGATGGTAGGCAGTATTTTTTAACTACACATCTAGCATTTTCTTATATTTGTTTTGGCCCCAGGAAATAAATGAATGACAGGAAAAAATATAGTCGGTGGTTTGGAGCTCCGGCTTAAGCGGTTGATTCTTGTTGAACAATTAGCTTGGTGAACTTACAGTATTATGTTGTTGCCATCCTGAATGATTCTGCTTGTTTTTTCTTCTCATCAGATTCTAATTGTGAAATTTTCTTTGATCCTTTTTTCCCACTCCAACTCATTGGAAGACTGTTATGATATTTGTTAGTTAGCAAGTGGTTTACAGATATCTTAAGATTGGATCAAAATGCTTAAGCTGCTTATTCTTTAAATGTGTTTATGACTTGTATCATAGGCTTTGTCATTAGGAGGCAGGCCATTTGCTTTCACTGAAGCTTTTGCGTACTCAATACTTGAAAATTTGAAATGCATAATAGGAAAAAATTTTTCAACATTGTCTGACTTGTTCTTCAAGTGTAGAGCAATATTAATTGTGTCAAGAAATGTGTGGAATGTTAGTGACAAGATTGTCTTTAGCTAGTTCCATGTTAGTTGGACAAACCTGCGTTGGGATTATTGTTGAATTAACATTTTTACTCCAAAGTAATAAAAAAGAAAGAAAGAAAGGGATATCAACTTTTTAATCTAAACAATGATTTTCTTCTGTTTGGTTTGTTGAATCATCTTGATGGGAATTATCCTTGTTATTTCTCTGTTGAAGTAGCTTTATTGAGAAGTTCTTAACAGCAGGTCCTTGGATCAATGAAATGCTGGTACAGGATCTATGAAGCCCTTGATGAGAAGGAGGAAGAATAATACAAGATGCAAACCTCTGCCTCCTTCCAAAAGGTTAAGGCTTGAGGCCCAAAGAGTGCTTAAGGAACGAGTTCAGGAAATTGCAGATAAGAAGGGCATCAAACTAAGGTTTTGTAACCTAAAAGAGTGTGAGAATCACATTCATGCACTAGATAGCCCTTGTGCCAATATTAGAATGGAGATTGGGTGGCCACATGGAGTGCCATTTGTTCATCCCCATGATCTACCTAATAAGGCCAAGATTGGTTTTCTTGAAGCATATGAACCTGGTTGGACAGCAACTCATGATATAGAATTGAGCCTGACGGAACCTGGACAGGCCAGTCAACAGTCAGCAAACTGTAACTGTAAATCTCTTGTTCATTTTCTTTCTTGTACAAGCATTGACAAATGCAATTTATTTTCATGTTCTTACCAGTAATCACACACTCAACACTTAACACTGAAAAATTTACTGGATTATCCAGAGTATTTTGAATGAACTGATGAATGGAAAATATTTTGCACTGACTATGAATTTATTTAGCACAGAGCCATCAAGAGTTAAGAGCATTGGATGCTGCACTTAAATGGGTTACGTTGATTCCCCAATTAATTTGAAGTATTGTTTTTTTCCTTGACCCCTTCTTATGGCAATCTTTTTATTCATTTGTTTTTGTTTGAACCCAAATATCATTGAACCATGCTTATGGACTATAAAGCTTTTATCTCATGGAAGTAGTGGCATTGTTGGCTGATTTTGTTCGGGGGATTTTTTTCATCACTCACAGTGCATGATGATGCAATGTGTTGCAAGCATAATTTGTATAGTAAAATGCACTAGTAATCATTGGTTTCTATTTCGTTAATGTCAAACCCCATTACATGGAGATTACCAATCAAATAATTGTTTCTTCGAATATTTTCTAGCACCTTTTCCCCATTATTTTTTTTCACATCTTAAAAACAAAGTGAACTTTATTCATTCTCTTCCGCTTTTCCCCTCACTGGTCTTTTGACTTCTGAATGCTATTAACAGAGTGAATTTTACATTTTGTCTGCAGGAATGACTATGCAGTTTCCTATGTGCAATTATCCTCAATTGGCTTGTTACCGATTGGTTTGCCAGATCTCAACTCGGTGGTTTTTGTCCTCATTATTCTACCTTCCGTCCAGGTTATGAGCTGCTCTACTGAAATCCTGTATGTTCCTGAATTGATTTGTAATTCACTGGCCAATTCTCACAGAAGGCATATGTTACTACACATGTCTGCAAATGAATGAACATTGTCTGCAAAAATCACTTGGAGTTCTAATGCAACCATCATCATGAACATGAGTTGTTTTGCCGAAATCCCAGTCCTTCATGAACTGAACTGGATTTCACTGTTCAATTACCAAACAAGGCATCATTATTCATGTCTGTAAACGAATCAATACATTGTCTGTAAATAGGCAGTTTTAGGAATATTCACTCTTTGGCCTTAAGGTTCTTTCTTGGCCATTTCATTTTGGTGTTTTAAGTTCTCTCCAAGTTCCAGGTATCATTTTATAGTGAAGAAATGGAGGAATAACAAGGATCATCTCAGTTTGATGACTTGCAGGAAGGTTGGTGATTTATTTCTGCACTATACTGGGAGTTGGTGCAATTCTTAGAGATGGAAATCTGCTTCAGTCATGGAAGGTGTTAATCATATAACTAAAGTATTGGTTGTTAGAATTTAGGAGAGAATGGAACCGGTGACTTAGCATTTTGGTCAAGGAATATCCTTTTCTTTTATTTCAAAAATTATTTAAAAAAGTCCTATGGTATACTCTTGTGCTATGCTGCCCCAATCAGTTGGTTGTGGAGTCTCTATTCCACCCATATAAATCATGATCTTGTAATTAACATTTCTACTCTGCTCTTGGACAAGTTTCTTTCTCTGCTATGAATGTACTTAAATTAGCCTCTTTTATATGACATCCGCCAGTTTTGAAAGTGCATCTGATTGCTGGGCAGATAATTATATATGTCAAGAACTGGGCACTTTGAACTTTGTGGACACTGCTTGGGGGTTTTCCATGCACCAATTCATCTGAATGGGGATTAAGGACTTGGCATTGGTTGAGGATACAGGTCCACTTGATTGCTTTTCAATACATCTTGAATCATTTTTATTTATGTGGAATTAATGATCTCAACCTGTCAGTTTTTGATACAGTTGTTGGGGGATGAAGCAGCCTTTGCATATTCATCTCTGATATTGTTTGGTGCATGGAGCAAAGTGCTTGGTTATAACAAATGAAACTTCATTAGTCTTTTAACATTCTCCAATTGCTCTCTACTTGGAAGGTCCCGCTTGGAGAAAAGACCGCATATATTCAATGCATGGATTTTGGTTGGCATGTACATATTTGTTTGATTGTAAATGGCCAGCATAGCAATGTCAAGCTAAATATGGATGAGATTTTACTTTGAAGAAAGGCGCCAGTTCCTCCTTCCTCAGATCCCCAAAGATCTGAAAACGCTTGTTTGACATTCATCAATGGAAACTTAAGTGGGATGTGCCTCGAGAGCCTAATGATTCCGATATTAACTCAAACTTTAGCCTCTGGACTATAACTCAAACTTAAAGAGTTATGCACCACAAGACACACAAAGAAAGCAATGAGAATCTGTGTTAGAACTCATCAAGCGTCACGGCATAACTGCCTGCTGCTATTATATTTACAAGCCCTATTAAGCAAATAATTAAGGGCATCATCCGGGAAAATACAAGCACAACATATAATAGTGCTGATGCCAACTGCTCCATGTGATTAGTGAATGATAAGTACCAGTGATGGAACTGCGCCCCCTGTAGTTCCTGATCCAGCCTCCCTGCAAGGATTGAGGTGATGTGCGTGTAGTGCTAACTGAACCTGGAGGAGATAAACACCTCCAACAATGGAGTTCTGTCTGCCAGTGCTTTTGGTTCCTTCAGAATTAGTCACTTTCAACTGCGAAATGGTTGTTGGTTTTCAGAAGGCAGCTCAATTAGTGTCGCATTACCATAAAACTCTTCCAAATTGTAAAAAGCTCGTTGTTGAGGAAGGAATATGTGAATAACCACATCACCTGGAATCAAGACAGGAAGAAACATTTCAAATGTCAACGATTACAATATTAGCTTGATTGGATTGGCATGACATTTCATCTCTAAGTTGCAATTCGCCTTATGTTCATAATCATATGCCAATTTACAATAAAAATAAATGCGCCAAAGGATTGTCACAATAGATTACTTACCAAAGTCTAAAAGTGTCCAAGAGTTTGGTTTTGTATCTCCAGATGGAATTTTTCCGTACTTCTTCTCAGCCAAATCTCTTATTTTAGATCTACATTGCAACTTCGAAGAAAAGCAATAAGTTCAAGAACTGCTGCAATGCATACTATAAACAATGTCCACAAAGGGACAACAAAACATGTCAGAGTTGAAGTGCATACCCAATAGCATCAATCTGAGGGCGAGAAAATGCCGTGGCAATGATGAAAAACCGAGTCCAATACACAAGAGGCTTCACAAAGAGGACCCTTATATCTGCAGCCTTCACGTCACTTGCCACCTTGGCCATTGCCACAGCAACTACAGTTATAGCAGGAATCCATGAGCTGATGCAAGCTTAAACCAAAGCTACTCAACTTTATGCTACAGAGGGCATATGGTTTTATTTTACCTTCTTGTAAGTAATTTATAAAGATTTTGCACATGTTTTTTTTTTTTTTTTGAAAGATGAGTTTTGCACATGTTAATACCTTGATTACCAAAAAATTTAATACCTAAACAAAAGTTTGTCTTAATCACCATTTACTGCTAATAACATGTTAATGCCTTGAATGTAGGACCAAACAGAATCATGTGAAGATTCTTCATAAATAAAATGGCAAGTGTGGCATTTTTATAAGTAAATGGCTTCTTTCCCATGCCTGCATGTCATATCTGAATTTCTTCAAAAGAAGAAAACTCATCTGGGAGAAGGGAAATTTCAAGAGGGTCCTTTATTTTTCAGCCTTTAGTTTGCAGGTGAGAGATGAGTGAGGAGCAGTAACTCCATACAACGAAGTGGAAGCTTGAGCGCATGATAGCAATATGGTTTACGAGATGTAAGGCTAAGGCACTTGGAGGAATTGCACTAATCTGGATGCACAAGAGTATCATGCATGTCAAGGTACAAGCAAATTTTAGCTATTTGAGACAGTATCAGGGCCTGCATAATGAATTGTATAAAGCAATTTCTTTATATAAACCTTCACAGGATCACATAATTTCCTTCTTAATTTCTCAATAATTTACAAGCAACCTAAAACTGAAACTAAAGGAAGAAAATCATGCTTCCCTTTGGATTTATCCAATGCAAAATAGTTGGCAGTCATAGCCACAGGGGAAACTTAAAGACTTCCATTTTTAAGGCATACCAGACATCAGATAAAGCCAGACTTGGTGAGTCAATGTCAAAACTAAAAGGCATTACAGTGGCCATTTATCACAAGTTATAAGCCATGATAAAGTTGGCAGCAGTAAAATCTCCCTCTCAACCTACACCTAAGGCTAAAAGATTATAGGGCCTTTAATTTAAAGGGCAGGTGGGTCAAGAAATGAGGAATTTCGATGGAACCATCTTTATTAGTTACAAAGACAGGCAGTAGACACCAGATATACAAAAACAAAGTCAAAACATACAACTAAAGGCAAGCCAGTGGAGGCAGAGCAATCCTCATTTTACAATGACTACAATATACAAGTACAAAGGCAATTATTCATTACGGGACATGACCGTCAAGCATGGAATTTATCATCTTTGAGGACTAAGTTGATATCAATCTAATTATAAAATAAAGCCTAAAATAGCAGTTGAAAGTGTTAACATCATATAGATCTCTACTGCTTATAAGTGCCCGGCTTCTAGTTAACTGTCAGATGAACTTACATGATAAGCTGTCAGCATCATCATCAAGCTCAGCGCTTGGAGACTTTTGGTCATTCTTCCTGAGTACTACTTTTCCATACTTTTTCAGCAAATCATCGAGAATCTCATCAGTGTCTTCATTTGCATTCTGCAAAAGTTATCAGTATGTTAAGACGCTGCATTTAAGGAACCAAAAGAACTTGGTTTCAGGATGTCTGCCCATACAGAGGAGATATCACCTTAGGATTACATAAACATGTCCACAAGATACAAGCCATTAGCAGCAACTCAATCAATGAGTGACAAAATTATTGTATCCAAACGTTTTGCCTTTTTTAGTTCTAAAAGCAAAAAGCAAGTAGCAAAAGTAAGCTTAACTTCTTGCTTTAGTATACAACTAGGAGAAATCACCAACACACAGTCAAATCTCCTCATATCCTCAAAATTCACTTGAACAATACAAAATTTAAAACTTAAATTTCCAAGATAGAAGCTTTAAAACTGTAACATAAGCTTGCGACATGCTTACTTTTCAGTACTATGATTTTTACACTATTTGTCAAAAGTTACCAAAAGGAGAAATAGGATGATACCGAGAGAAAGGAATCGTCAGCTTCTTTGCCATAAGCATGAAATGGAGGCAGCAACCCTCCTCTTGGGTTGAAATTCAAGGTTTTGGTTCTGTAGCTTAGCAAATGGAGCTCATTAAGGCAAAACCATCCAAAATTCTTTCTGGGTTTTTGAAAGAGCTTCGATTCGTGAGGTTCCCACCGCCGGAGCTGGCCGGAGAGCATATTGCCGCCGATGGATAGAGTCGCTGTTGACACTGCCATTTTTGTGTTTCTCTGTTTCTGATAAGAGTGAGAGGGAATCGTAAAGATATTCTTTAAGCGGGTCAATTTCAAGTGTACACGTAAGATATTAGACATTGTATATGTTTTCTAAGGATTGAAATTTTTAGTTTTTTTCAATAAATAGTTAGATATTTTCAATTAAATTTTAAATTTAAATAAAACATGAAATCAAATTATTAGATTACTGGTATATGTCTTTGAGCCGATTGGATTAGTTAAAAAATATAAATTGCCATTTTAATGTATACTTAATCACATAACTATACGTGATATATATTTTTATTCATGTTAGTACAATAATAAAGAGTTATTAAGTACTAATTAGATGAAATTCATGCATCATAAAAGTCTTGCAAGAGAATTGTAAAATTGTTACAATTATGAGATCAATATGCATTAAAGCCATGTTCCTAAGATTGTTCTTGATCATTATATTGTCAAGACTAAGTATTAATAATGCTCAAAGACTAGGACATTGTAAGCCTCCGTACTTAAGAAGTAAACAATCAATCTCACGTATTGAAGTATATGGGATGTTTGAAGATAATATATAGGTGTTTGTTAAAGAACAAGTTCACTGAACATGTTATAATTATGAGATCACTATACATCAAAACCATATTCTTAAAATTGTTTTTAGTCATTATATTATTAAAACAGGGTATTAACAATACTTAAAGACTAGTACATGTTAAGTCTACTTACTTGGAAAGTAAGTAATCGATCTCATTGATTGAAATATATGGAATTCTTTAGAATAACATGTAGGTGCTTGTTAAAGAATAAGTTCACTGAACATGACCCACTATGAGAACTGCATTTGGTATTTTACTCAAGTGTATATGAAATATGTTCTCATATGATAATCGTGTAACTAGTTATTGAACTTGAGATACCAAGTCATCTTGTATGGAGAATAATGTATTTTGATTTCTATCTTACGATTTTGAGGCAACCAGCTAGCTAAATAGGGTGTTTTTAGGTATACCATGAAGCATGCCAAAATAAATGAGTGGTCAAGAGAGGATTCATTACTTCAAGTGATATGAAGGGATGTATCTCACTTATTCCCAATTCTTGATTAACTTGTATAGAGTCTTTAGCCAAAGTATGATGAATTTGAGGAAAGTTAGTTTCCTAAATTCATAAAATTAGTCATGAATTATGAAAACTAATATAAAATGTTATAAGTGGATACTGAGTTATGCTTTATGACATATTCGAGATATTTAATCAAAGGATCGTATTACATTGAGCAGCTTATCATTGAAAGGCTTTGTGAAATTTTTTAATTGACTCTTTAATATTTAGATGGTCATAATATATTATTAAATACTACTCATGATCTATAAATATAAATCAATTCTCAAATTAATATTTGATTGGGATTTATATTTATTGTCAACATATTAGAAACCTAATGAGTCACATACATTAAGTGACGTGATTGAGATTAATAAGAATAATCAATTAAGTTGTACTTAATTAGAATAAACTAAAATAAAGTGAGAAATTAATTAAGTTCACAAAGACTTAATTGAATAAAAAAAACAATTGTTGTATCTAAGGTTACAACTTAGTTTGGTTATATAAATATGTTATGTTAGCAAACTAAAACTTTAAGCCTCTAGCCATTTCTCTCAGCCGTTTCGTAAAATAAAAAAAAATAGTTTTCTTTGTCTAAAAAAATAAGATTTGGTAAGAATTTTTGATATTTTTATTTAAAAATAAAACTTACTAACATAAGTAAAATCCTACCTTTGAGAAGGTCTTATTTTCTATCATTGTGTGGATTACTATTATAGGCTAAATACTTGGATGGCTAGAGATTTGAGAAATTTTAAAGGTGAAAAAGTAAAGATTTTATTGCAGGATTTTAGACCATTTTATTCTCCTGTCAAGGTTTCTTGCTTTATTACAAACGTTTTTGATTCAATTAGCTCTTGATTATGATATCTACAGTAAGGTATGTAACTTTTAAACTTATGAATGTTAATAATTAAGTTAAAAATTACATGAAAAATACAAACATTGATTTTGCAAAATTCGTCTGTTTCTCCGATTAAATGCTAGTTTATTATTCTGCTGCATTATATTTTTACTTTCGTAATTATTTTCATGTTCGAGCATGAGGTCAAATTCTAACAATAAATTAAATATAAATTATATCAAAAGATATAAAAGGGTATATGTGTGTGTGTACATATATATATTATATAAAAGAAAAGATTTATTCATATAAGTGTAAAACTAATTAAGTTTTACGTTAATTCCTATCATTTTATACTATTTATATTTTATTAATGCAACTATTAGATTTCATACTTCATACACGTAGAATCATGCATTATAAACTTAATTTAATTGCAAATGTATTATTATTTGTTTGATATATATATAATTTCATTTGTTAAATATTTATTTCAAAAATAATGTTTTGATTGATATGGATATTAAAATGATTTAAAACTTTATGTGCATGAGAAGAATGAAAAGTTGTTAAATGTAATGGTTGATTTGTTAAAATATTAATTATACATTAAATTATAGTAAATAGGTCTCTTCTCTCTCTCTCTCTCTCTCTATATATATATATATATATTATATTATATTATATTGTAGTATATTATATTTAGTATGTTTTCTTAATTGAATTTAAAAAAGCAATAATTTAGTAGATTAGGTAATTTCGAGTTTGTTTAGGTAAAATGTGGTTTTCTTTCAAGATTAAGATCACCATATTACGACAATAATCCTATTATTGGTATTATAAGATCACCATAGTTAGTATTATATTATTTAGTATCATTAATTATTGGAATTAGACATATTAAAATCAAACATCATTTTATTAAAAAAATAAAAAAGATAATCATGTTTTAAAAGTCAATTATTTATTAATTTTAATATTCTCTATAAACATAATAATTTGTGAAAATATTAATATTATATTTCTTATAATAAGTTAATAATGGTAAATATTTATTGTTGGCAAATTAACTTTTAATTTTTTAATGAGAAGGAAAAAATATTTGAATGGAAAAATGAATGCAATTTATCAAAATAATAATAAATTTGCTACCAAAACAAAAATTATATACATAACAAAAGAAAAAAAGAGAGAAAAAAGATCTAATATCATTTGAGTTGATTTACAAAGAAGATTGCAAGAGTTCAATTTTTTGTGTAAAAATTATTTTTATTTTATTAAGAAGTAAGTTAATTGATTTTACAAATCACCACATTTTCGTAAAAAAATGTTTTTCTTTTTTTTTTGAAAGGCAAAGTAAATACGATTATATTCATAAGCTGAACAAGGGTGTGAGTCACTATACAAAATGAAGCACCGCAACATGACGACATTTAAAAACACAAGGGCCGCGGCAATCAACCACTTGACGATGTATCAAGAAAGGTTGATCAAACAAAAGCAAGCAAAATGAACCCTATACCAAACAACTAAGTCAGCTCATCTCCTATACATGATGCTCACTTAAGGTCAACAAACCAAAAGAATTTAAAACAAGGGAGGGGTTTCAATATCAGATCATCAAAACGTCAAAGCAATCTGCAGACTACACCTACGGCTTCCCATTAGTGAGCATCAGCATTTCATTACCACTTACTTCATCGGAGTTAATCCATAGGAATTCCTATGTTTGTTGCACACCTCCTTTAGCAAGCTGGTCAACAGCATCATTAGCAAACCTTGGCACATGTCGTACCTACCAAGATAGAGTTTTCTCAAGTGTTTTGATGATTAGGATAATGTAATGTTGAAGTTTCAATGGAACCTTGTTAGGACGTTGAATCCAAGCCATTACATTTGTAGAATCACATTCAAGGATGAGATGGTGTGATCGGGACCATTTAGACGCTGCAAAAAGAAGAACAGCCTCTCTGGCAACAAGAACTTTCGCAATATTAGAGTCAGCATGTCCAATACATTTGGACAAAATGAGAAGAGTCACCATTGACATTCCTCATGATACCACCAATTTCAGTTGCACCAGGATTTCCTTGGGAGGCACCATTAGTGTTGAGCTTAAGAAAATCGACTTGAGGTTTTTCCCATTTTTTTTTTGAAAGTTCAATTATATTAAAGGTCTAAAAGAACCTTAGTTTTCCAACAAAGAGATTTTGTAAGGCATACCCCTTACAAAAGAACATTGAGGTATGCCATAACAAAATCACACAAGTATCAACCTCTATACATAAGCTAACAAAACCCCCTCTACAAACTCATTCCCCACACAAAACCAACCCCTATAGAAAAAAAGGAATAGAACTTAGGAAATACAATGTGAACTTTCACTCTCCAAGACTATTCCTAGAAATTGGCAAACACAAAAATATCCTTTCGAAAAAAAAAAGAGAGGTTGCAGTAGGAATCAATAGGTAATTTAACTACTTCTTCCTTCAATTGTGACAGAACCCTTATGCTCATCTCCCCAAACCATTAACAACTTTATTTCTCTCCCTATACTAGATTTTGCGAGAATATTAGCTTATTCGTTTACCCCCTCAATGTGTGTTTGACTTCTCATTTT